CCCACTACCTGAAGAGATTCCCTAAGGTGTGATTGCTGAGATGTCCGTCTTTTCCTCTGACCTCACCCCTTTCCCTCAGAAAATCTTCAAGGGCTGTTTTCATTCCACGCTGGGGCATCTTTAACATAAAGCACTGATTTAATCAGAAATATTTTAGAAATATCCCAGAATACAAAACTCTGGAAAGCTTTTAGTTTTAATGAGAAGAACATTTTCTTATGAATACAACTTTTATAACTGTTTTAAGCCTGGACACTGACCTTTTCCCCCACCTAAACGCTGCCACTCCTGCACAATCACCATTTATAGGGAAAAAAATATTTTAACTAGTATTTATAGGATACTCTTCATCCATCTTACAAGTACTCTTTAGGCAGGATTTCTTTTAAGCTTCATTAGGAAACAGTGTGTTTGCTTATGTGACATATAGCTAAAAAATCTGAAATAGCTGGGACATTGAAGAGTTTAAATATACAACGTCTACAAAGTTTAATGTTAAATATAAACCAGAAGGTATCAGACTTTCATATGAAACAGACACTTGTGGCACCAGCCCTTGCAGGAGAAGTGGAGTGAAGTTTGCAAATCATGTAACATAAGTGTCCTCAACAAACCAGCCTTATACAGATTCTAAATAATGTTCAGTATTCATGAAGAAATGCCTCTTTGGTTTTATACACTGGCTTTTCTGGTAAGTGAAGCAAAATTACATCCTTAAGAATTTCACTTGTACATGCACTGTGGAAACAATTGCACAGTTTTAAAGTGGTTTTTTTTGGTCTTATATAAGCCGTGTTGGATAGTTGAACTGACCTTGTAGACAGTTTGCAGCTATTTTTTGGTCCAGTGCGAAGAGGATGGAGCTAGGTTGTTTTCAGTGGTGGCAGATGACAGAACAAGAAGCAATGGTCTCAAGTTGCAGTGGGGGAGGTCTAGGTTGGCTACTAGGAAACACTATTTCACTAGGAGGGTGGTGAAGCACTGGAATGGGTTACCTAGGGAGATGGTGGAATCTCCTTCCTTAGAGGTTTTTAAGGCCCGGCTTGACAAAGCCCTGGCTGGGATGATTTAGTTGGGGTTGGTCCTGCTTTGAGCAGGGGGTTGGACTAGATGACCGCCTGAGGTCCCTTCCAACCCTGATATTCTATGAAATCAGAGTCAAACTGTCAGGATAATGCACCAACACCAAAGAAAATCAACTGAACAACAGTCTTGAAAATGCTTTATTGAACGGTGTGTCTTATTGTAATGTGCAGAAGATGTGTTTGAAAAGACTACAGCTTGAAAATTGGTTCTGAAAATCCTCAACAATCAATAAAAAAAATCCCTCCCGGGGGTAACTCCTAGTAGAACCAGAGGACTGGTGTAAAATTTCCCTTAAAACATTTTCTGTTGCAGAGACTGAACGAAAACAAAGTTGTACTGTACTGGCTGGAAATACTTGGAATCTGAGGATTAAGAAAATGAGAATGAAACTGAAACTTCAAACTGTGGGGTGGTTTTTTTGTTATTTTAGATTAGTATACACGTCACAGTTCTGTTGAGAACACCAGCTGGTGTTCAAGTCTGTAATTTTATTCTAAAATGCTTGTAATGCTGCAGGAATGGAAGAGAAAGAGAAAGCGGGCGAGGTTAGAGAACTGGAAAGAGACATGATTATAGTATAAGCCTATTTTAAATTTATCAGAAGCTGTGTGCACTTTTGTCTTTATAGTCTAACTTTACATTCCAAAAAAACCAAACCCCTGCTGTCTTTGCATTGGGGCTATTATGAAAGTCTATGCACAAAAAACACTGTACATTTTTTTACATATAGGATTAATAGTATAGGCATGTAGGTGGCATGATTCAATTAAAAGGCTCTTTACTTTTTTTTTATGCCAGAAAAAAATAATCAAAGAGAAATAATAAATAAAAGGTGCTAAAGTTAGCATTAAGAATTCAGTTGTAATATATTGACAAAGTCTGGGAAGTCAAATCCTCAAGCTCTCCTGATACTGACAAGTCTCTGCAAACTATGAAGCAAATACATAAATAACTCAAAAATATGATTGAGACCGTGAAGGCTTTTAAAACTAAGACAACATAATCCAGGTTAACTTTTTTTTTTTTATTTTTTTTAAAG